TATATATTTTATTATATCAGCAGTATAAATGATCAAAGCAAGATCGAAATGTCCTGAATGGGTACATTTACTACCAGGGAAACATACCGCCGAGGCCAACAGGAAAACTAAGCATCAAACACATCGAACTTGGTATCGCGAAAAGAAATAGAATATTTTCAATCATTATACTGGGAGCAGGCATAGATATCTGTGGTATTTCCAATATTGACTTGAGGTCTTATTCATCAGAATATGAACCATGAATTGGTAGTACTCGTAAGACATCACCGTATTCCGTAGTTTCCTTTATAAAGTCCAATGATGAAGAACTTCAACATGAGAGTTATATAGGATGAAAATAATCGGTTCACATTCGGCAAAGCTTGTGCCTGTGATTGAAGATAACATATCTAAGATATTAAGATCAGGCAAGTTAAAGAATGCATAGGACGTTGATGTGGCATATATCCTGTTCCAAAAATGACAAAACATTCACACGAAGGATAGCCAAGGAGACTAAAGGAATTTTTTATTCAATCGACTACAGCACCACTTCTGGTCGGACGTCACGGTTGATATTCTTATATCATAACGTGACCGGATGTATATATATATGCAGAACCAGTGTGGAAATACATCACAATAGCAATAGTCTATCTACAGGTTTATTTACACTTTATACAACATCTACTATATTAGTCCAGATCAACACCCGAGAAACCCGTCTCTAATAGACCTCAACTTAGCATCCGGAGACAGTCACACACACGACTGTTCTCAACAGAGAAACTCTCTCGCCGTGCCCCTACCAGACATCCTCCTACCACACACATAATTAATAGGTGTACTTATGAATAGCTCTGAAGCCGTGACCGTCTCATTGACATAAGTTCAAACTCCCCGGCTAAGTCAGTAGCCATGACAGTCTGTCAGCACGGTCCCCCTCCCGGTGTCAATAAACGCTATAATATATCAAAAATCTTTCCCCCATTACATTCTATATGCCTTCCCCAAAATACATTATATACATGATTAGGAAGACACAAAACCAATCGATTACATTATTATTGCGGCGGATACTGAGAAAGCATTTTGGAAATCACTTTTTTCTAGCATCGAATAATCGAATGTTTTTTTGAAAAAAAAAAAAAAAAAAAAACATCTTTGGTATCCCTGCTAAACATTATCAAAATATCACGATAGTAGGTGTCTGACTAAGTAGAGTGATTACATGACCTACCCCCTAAAATCAGACCAAAGCAGGCAATTTGACCGCTACAGTGTAATACCTGAATGCAAATATCTATTGACCTGGAATACCGAGCAGAAGATGTTCACATCTTTGTACATATCTAATATCTTTCCAATATTTATCGACAGAAGACTGTCTTCTTATTTTCATGTCAATGTTATCATGGAAGTATTCTCTATCTGTTGTAGAAAATGAACGATACAAAGACATGCGTTTGAAGCATAGTAATGCCCAACTACACGAGGGTGAATCTTTGAGATTACAAATGGAAGACATGATATTAACGGATATATGATAATTATTACTCGTCTGATTCTACGTTTGCATTGAAATGTGTTATTGTGTGGCTTTTTGGTTTACAATCATCTGAAGCATAATTTTATACATTGTAAGGTTATGTAAATATTTTAAATCTTCACCGATAATTCATTCAGAACCAAAACTCTCATTATGAATATTGTAAAGAAAACGAATTTAGATTTAGTTTTTTTATGTCGTGAATTTTCATGATCAAAGTATCGTTTTCTTTATCAATAATCCGACCTCGGTGAAAATTACTTTTTTTTAGACGAGGAGACGATGAGCGAGCATTGATAAAATCCAGTGAATAATTGTATACCAGAACTGCCAGGGAACAACTTGAAGCAATATATCTCGCTTTCCTAACCTTATTTGCTCCTGACTGTTGTTGATCCCTTAAAATATATACCCGAATAACTGATCTGCTGTTTAGGACCTTGGCTATTCTCTTGATGCAATCCATTATTTTGTAAATATTTGAACTTAAGTGATATATTCCTTTATTTGGACTGTTTTGGTGTTGACGGATGACGGAGTCACTTACGGACACTTCTATAATGTTATCACTCTGAAATATCATTTCTGGACATCTACCCCATCGGATAACAAAAGTGTGCACACATCGCCATTTTATGACGTATTCTGTTGTTGTCCTTGCTTGTATCTGACAGCACACTTTAACCTTACAAGACCAAGTCATTGTCAAAGGCAAATAGTTTCAATCCATTCTTCATACAGAGAGATACTTATTAATACTAAACTTGTTTATTTTAACTCTAAGAAGTAAATCATTTAAACGTTTCCACAAGTTTTGAATGCCAACATTATTATTCCGGCACTGTTAGGTAAGTGTATTGGGAATTATTAGCTGGTGCTGGTTTCCATTAGAAAATAACAAAGTATGCTGGTCTCCATTAAAAACAACAGAGTACCCACATATGATCAGAACCATAATCCAAACACTAATTTAATTAAACTACTACAAACACGGCTAAAAAAGGAAAGAAGATAAACACAGAGACACCTGAAAATAGTTCAAGACAAATAAGACCAGGTGTTCCGGAATGGTGTCTTTTGATCAAGTCAATAAATACAAATGTATCTTTATGATGAGATAGTTTTACATACCAAATCAGACGCAGCAGTAGATTCTTCTTCTCAAAAATTCTTTTATCATTTGTTGCAGTCAGTGTCTCAGGTTGTAGTAATTGGGTGATCATCAAGCAGTCAATTGACTCGACTGCGTTTGGTGAAACATCATAGGTTATACATACAATTTGATATCGGGGACTTGATGATAGCAGACTGCTTCATGTAAGCCAATCTCTCATGTATATTTTATTATGTCAGCAACTGCAATTCTATTTAACATTACTCATGCTATTCCCTCAACAATACCAAATTGAACACATGGTGATATTTATTCCTCTGTAACGAATGATGACGTCGACGTTTGCATTTTGAAAAAAGATAATTATCTATGTTAAATAGAATTGCAGTTGCTGACATAATAAAATATAAGAGATTGGCTTACATAAAGCAGTCTGCTATCATCAAGTCCCCGATATCAAATTGCATGTATAACCTATGATGTTTCACTAAACGCAGTCGAGTCAATTGACTGCTTGATGATCACCCAATTACTACAACCTGAGACACTGACTGCAACAAATGATAAAAGAATTTTTGAGAAGAAGAATCTACTACTGCGTCTGATTTTGTATGTAAAACTATCTCATCATAAAGATACATTTGTATTTATTGACTTGATCAAAAGACACCATTCCGGAACACCTGGTCTTATTTGTCTTGAACTATTTTCAGGTGTCTCTGTTTATCTTCTTTCCTTTTTTAGCCGTGTTTGTAGTAGTTTAATTGAATTAGTGTTTGGATTACGGTTCTGATCATATGTGGGTACTCTGTTGTTTTTAATGGAGACCAGCATACTTTGTTATTTTCTAATGGAAACCAGCACCAGCTAATAATTCCCAATACACTTACCTAACAGTGCCGGAATAATAATGTTGGCATTCAAAACTTGTGGAAACGTTTAAATGATTTACTTCTTAGAGTTAAAATAAACAAGTTTAGTATTAATAAGTATCTCTCTGTATGAAGAATGGATTGAAACTATTTGCCTTTAACAATGATTTGGTCTTGTAAGGTTAAAGTGTGCTGTCAGATACAAGCAAGGACAACAACAGAATACGTCATAAAATGGCGATGTGTGCACACTTTTGTTATCCGATGGGGTAGATGTCCAGAAATGATATTTCAGAGTGATAACATTATAGAAGTGTCCGTAAGTGACTCCGTCATCCGTCAACACCAAAACAGTCCAAATAAAGGAATATATCACTTAAGTTCAAATATTTACAAAATAATGGATTGCATCAAGAGAATAGCCAAGGTCCTAAACAGCAGATCAGTTATTCGGGTATATATTTTAAGGGATCAACAACAGTCAGGAGCAAATAAGGTCAGGAAAGCGAGATATATTGCTTCAAGTTGTTCCCTGGCAGTTCTGGTATACAATTATTCACTGGATTTTATCAATGCTCGCTCATCGCCTCCTCGTCTAAAAAAAAGTAATTTTCACCGAGGTCGGATTATTGATAAAGAAAACGATACTTTGATCATGAAAATTCACGACATAAAAAAACTAAATCTAAATTCGTTTTCTTTACAATATTCATAATGAGAGTTTTGGTTCTGAATGAATTATCGGTGAAGATTTAAAATATTTACATAACCTTACAATGTATAAAATTATGCGTCAGATGATTGTAAACCAAAAAGCCACACAATAACACATTTCAATGCAAACGTAGAATCAGACGAGTAATAATTATCATATATCCGTTAATATCATGTCTTCCATTTGTAATCTCAAAGATTCACCCTCGTGTAGTTGGGCATTACTATGCTTCAAACGCATGTCTTTGTATCGTTCATTTTCTACAACAGATAGAGAATACTTTCATGATAACATTGACATGAAAATAAGAAGACAGTCTTCTGTCGATAAATATTGGAAAGATATTAGATATGTACAAAGATGTGAACATCTTCTGCTCGGTATTCCAGGTCAATAGATATTTGCATTCAGGTATTACACTGTAGCGGTCAAATTGCCTGCTTTGGTCTGATTTTAGGGGGTAGGTCATGTAATCACTCTACTTAGTCAGACACCTACTATCGTGATATTTTGATAATGTTTAGCAGGGATACCAAAGATGTTTTTTTTTTTCAAAAAACATTCGATTATTCGATGCTAGAAAAAAGTGATTTCCAAAATGCTTTCTCAGTATCCGCCGCAATAATAATGTAATCGATTGGTTTTGTGTCTTCCTAATCATGTATTTAATGTATTTTGGGGAAGGCATATAGAATGTAATGGGGAAAGATTTGTGATATATTTTAGCGTTTATTGACACCGGGAATGGGACCGTGCTGACAGACTGGCATGGCTACTGACTTAGCCTGGGAGTTTGAACTTGAGGCTGTCACGGCTTCAGAGCTATTCATAAGTACACCTATTAATTATGTGTGTGGTAGGAGGATGTCTGGTAGGGGCACGGCGAGAGAGTTTCTCTGTTGAGAACAGTCGTGTGTGTGACTGTTCCGGATACTAAGTTCAGGTCTATTAGCGAAGGGTTTCTCGGGTGTTGATCTGGACTAATATAGTATATGTTGTATAAAGTATCAATAAACCTGTAGATAAAACTACTGTTTTGTCATTTATGAAACGGGATATATGCCACATCAACGTCCTAAGCATTCTTTAACTTGCCTGATCTTAATATCTTAGATATGTTATCTTCAATCACAGGCACAAGCTTTGCAGAATGTGAACCGATTATTTTCATTCTATATAGCTCGGTGATGGCTTCAGCTAGTAATTACGAGCACTACCATCATATTCTGATGAATAAGTCGTCAAGTCAATATTGGAAATACCACAGATATCTATGCCTGCTCCAAGTATAATTATTGAAAATATTCTATTTCTTTTCGCGATACCAAGTTCGATGTGTTTGATGCTTAGTTTTCCTGTTGGCCTCGACGGTATGTTTCCCTGGTAGTAAATGTACCCATTCAGGACATTTCGATCTTGCTTTGATCATTCATACTGCTGATATAATAAAATATATATGAGAGGTTAATTTGTGTTACAGAAAGTAGTCTGCTATCATCAAGTCCCCGATATCAATGTGTATGTGTAATTTATGATCTTTATCCCAACGCATTAGAGTCAATCGACTGCTTGATGATCACTCAATTACTAAAACATGAGATCCTCACTGCAAAAAATGGAAAATCGTTGTTGAGAAGTGGAACCTACTGCTGGCTGTATTTTTGTAAGTAAAACTAACTCATCTGAAAGATATAATTTTATATGTTGATTTTATTATATCTGGTGCATGCTATATTTGTATTGACAGTACACCATTTGTCATTACATGCAAGGATATACATACTGTGTTGCACTCACATTCAATGATTTACTTGAAAAAAGTTTGTCCAAATATTTATTGTTGATGATTTTCCTTCTTAAAATCTCATGAAATTTCGATGCTGTAAGCCTTTTTCTTCTCTGTTGAAGCCAGAGCTCACAGTTACTTTGTTGGCGAGTGTTAACTTCGATTTCTATTGCTTTAGCTTGAGATATCATGATGTCTTCAGGAATGGGTGTGTAATTGTCTGGCAGGGTTATGGGTGGATTTTTGGGCAAAACTAATTCTCCACAATCTACACTGACTTCTTTATTTTCCATCCTGTTTTCGTAGAACATTGCCTGAAATATTATTTGAAAAATGTATGTCACTATAATAGTACATAATTTGTAGATAATATAGGACAATGAATTTAAAATCTATGAAAAAGACATGGATGGACTTATTACCAGGTATGGGCTTATTGCATGATAAATACGGTAGTTTAAATAATGGAAAATGCATTTTTACATGTGCATAAATGTACATGTGACATCACCAACTGACAAGACTGTGAAAGGTTATATTTTACATTAATTTTGTTAATTTTCTGATTTCAGGGGTAGATCCCGTGGAGGTTTCAGAACTAGTGGCAGAAAATCGCCAGCATAGACAGGATCTTGCTTCATCAGCCATAACAGCAGAAAATCAGCAAAGAAATTTTTCTAGCAGTGGAGTACAGACAGACAAACAAAGAAATCAATTTGATTTTGAGGAACTCCGGAAGAGTGAAAAACAATTAAGATATTATACTGGATTCTCAACAAAACAATTTGATGCAGTATACAAGTTTTTAGTACCAGATGGAGACTATCCAATAAACTTGCCTTCTAACAGACAGAAAGAAATAATGTGCATAACATTGGAAAATCAGCTACTGTTAGTGATCATGAAACTGAGACATGACTTTGACTATGTAGACCTTGGCTACAGATTTGGTGCTAGCAAGCAAACTGTGAGCATTCTATTGACACACTGGATCAACTACATGTTTTTAAGGTGTGGTGAAGTTTCCATTTGGCCACCAAGAGACACGATTTTTCAACACATGCCACAAAACTACCAACAGGACTTCCCAACTACTTTTGCCATTTTCGATTGTACAGAAATGAAAATTTGCAAACCCTCATCTTTGTCTGCACAATCACAAACATTTTCAGACTATAAATCAACAAATACATTAAAGAGTCTTGTAGCATGTGACCCAAGGGGATCTATCATATATGCATCAATGTTGTTTGCTGGATCCATGTCAGACAAGGAGATATTTAAACAATCTGGGTGCCAGGATATGTTGAAAGAACTTGTAAAGGAGGGATATTTGAAGGAGGGAGATGGTGTAATGGCCGACAAAGGATTCAACATCCATTCTGAAGTGGAAGAGTGTGGCTTGAAACTAAACATTCCGCCTTTTGCACGAAGTGGAGTGCAAATGACAAAGCATGATGCTTTACATACGAAGAAAATAGCAGCACATCGTGTACATGTTGAAAGAGCAATTGCTCGCATCAAACGTTTCCAAATTGTGGCCAGGCGTTTGCCACTTAGTTTATACACCAGCATCAATCAAATCTGGTATGTCTGTGCATTCCTGTCAAATTTCTTTAATCCCTGTATTCAGGACAAATAAATGTAACAACATTACCTGTGTGCTAAGTCCACTACCAATTGGAACTGCTCCAAACATTGTGTTGACTGTTTTTTTGGGTCGGGTAACAAGGTAGCTGATAGGCAAGTCTGTCCATGCTTGCTTTCAAATTGTCTATGTCTTCTCTAGTTACTGTTTTAATTCTGCAAATAAATGACCAGAATAACTGATGATGTGTATAATGAGGAATTGATGATGCTTATGTTATAATGTATATGTCTTTGTATAAATGTATGGAAAATAAAAGAGATGCAAAAGAATTAACTATTTTATTATACCTGGTATATATATTATTGATATTGATTTCATGCTTAAGATGTATGTAAAATTATGATTTTCTACCAAATATTTATTTCAGCTGCATGACTTTGTGTATTATACTTATTTACATAAAATGAAGATAACCATGATGGAATTACATACCTGCAGTCTATGACTTTGTTTTGTAGTGGTTTCTGCTTTCTGTCTGATTTGGGTTGTATCACAGTAATGTGGGGAACAGACCTCGGTGTGATTTTTGGACCTCTGGGGATACTCCACTGCTGAGGGAGACTTGTGCTTGACAACTCACTAGGAATATCAGATAATCCCATCAATTGCCAATTTTGAAGTGCCTGGATTAGTCCAACGATATGGGAACAGCAACCACTAGCTCTGAAATTTATCAATTTAGTCCAAATTTGAAATACACATGCAAATTGGTTATAACATATTATTGCTTACAAGTACAAAAAGTAGGCACTAAAACTAAATATTAGGGGGACAAACACACAGGTCAATCCTGTCTATAAAAATGACAGAGCAACAATGCCTTTTATAGTTAAGTGTACCTTATACAGAGGTCAATTTATATAGTAAGTTGAACTGAATGGATTTGTGGAGTCTTTCTAGACAAATATCCTTTACATACAGTTATTCTTAATACCAATGGTGATTTTATGTCAGCGCACTTTCATAAATGAGTGAATAAAATGCTAAAAACCACAACTGTAAATGCTGTAGGCTTATAAACATGAACGTTTTTATTTTGATTCAGTTCATTTTTTTAAGATTTCCATTTAAGAAAAGTGTCATTGATCAATTGATCAATAAAAAACTTTTTGAACATTGTGATGGGAACCTGGAAGAGAGAGAGAGAGAGGAGGGGGGGGGGGGGGGGGGGGGGGTAGTAAATAATTGTTTGTTGAAATATAAATCAAAATATGACGTGCGACTATACTTTTGGCCAGTGACTTTAAATAACAATACTGTGTAGACCATTCACACCTGATCGACTTTAGTCTAGTATACACTGTTATATAACTTGACACTGACAGAAGTACGCACTTCAAAGGAAACATGCGCGTACCCTCGCGACTAGCCTACAGGTGGTCGACGAGGATAATTTACCTGTGTTTTAGACGCTACGAAAAGGTGGCAAATTAATACGAATCCTCAGTTGTAGGTAGATATGTGGAGATCACTGACAGTACATTAGACCTACAATATATTAATATAAATGTAATCACACATCGCCGATATCGGGCCTTGGTCAACACAAATAATTGTAAAATCAATCTATTATCGTGCATAAATATTTTGAAATAAATATTAATACAATACCCTGCAACACATGTACAATCCGACAATGTTATCCTCCCAGGTATAATATCCAAATGCAGTAGGTGCGGCTGGTCATTTTTCTTCTGACTCCTGAAGCATCTCGCGGAGACTTGAAGTTCGTCAAGATTTCTGTTTTTCGCGATGCTTCTCTCTCTAAATATCCCTCTGCGAAATATTTGTATCCCTGCTGTTTGGACTTTAAGCTTATCGTTACTTCCTTTAGGTAATTTAGCGAAAAATCATGCGGTAAATCCTGCAAGGTTGCTACGTGCGTCTTCTCAGCATCCGCCATCTTGTCTCAGTGACTGGATTGCTTGACGGACGTTTCAACAGTAGTCATGGCCATAGAAAGTGGGTGGAGCTACGGAGCGATTGGCGATGGGTCAATTGCATGCATTTGACCAGGAAGACACTTTTTTTCTTTTTTTAAATGTAAAAGTAAACATATACACAGGTAAAGGGCAAATAGTTTTCAGGGAAGACAATATAAAATTAGCTTCAGATTGGTGTTAGGGAGGAGAGTGTTACATGTACTAGGTCAAGTGACTTCAGTATTAGGGAGGAGAGTGTTACATGTACTAGGTCAAGTGACTTCAGTATTAGGGAGGAGAGTGTTACATGAACTAGGTCAAGTGACTTCAGTATTAGGGAGGAGAGTGTTACATGAACTAGGTCAAGTGACCTCAGTATTAGGGAGGAGAGTGTTACATGAACTAGGTCAAGTGACCTCAGTATTAGGGAGGAGAGTGTTACATGTACTAGGTCAAGTGACCTCAGTATTAGGGAGGAGAGTGTTACATGAACTAGGTCAAGTGACCTCAGTATTAGGGAGGAGAGTGTTACATGAACTAGGTCAAGTGACCTCAGTATTAGGGAGGAGAGTGTTACATGAACTAGGTCAAGTGACCTCAGTATTAGGGAGGAGAGTGTTACATGAACTAGGTCAAGTGACTTCAGTATTAGGGAGGAGAGTGTTACATGAACTAGGTCAAGTGACCTCAGTATTAGGGAGGAGAGTGTTACATGAACTAGGTCAAGTGACCTCAGTATTAGGGAGGAGAGTGTTACATGAACTAGGTCAAGTGACCTCAGTGTTAGGAAGGAGAGTGTTACATGTCCTAGGTCATGTGACCTCAGTATTAGGAAGGAGATTACTACATGTACTAGGTCACGTGACTTCTGTTTTAGGGAGGAGATTATTACATGTACTTGGCCATGTAACCTCAGTTTTAGGGAGATTAACAAATGTACTGGGTCATGTGGTCTCAGTTTTAAAGAAGATATAAAAAATATCTAGTCATAACCTTCAAAATCAAGGGTATCAGGGTGTTTCAGGTAGCAGTACACAGTTTCGCAGTGTGGCCATGTGTGATAATTTTGTTCATTAGATTACCCTATTAAAAAGGTTTTCATTAAAATTTTAAAAATAAATCCATGCTAAAATTTGTCTTATCATGTTGGAGTAGACAATGTGGAGTTTCATTTTACTCAGAATAATAATTTAGCTTCGTGTTGGAGATTACTGTTTGGGCAGTCTCGCATCTGTGTCTATTCACCAAAATCTAGCTTTACAGAAAGTCAGACTTTCATAGTGTTTAGATGTGGTCATGTTATGAAGGATTTCCGAGTTGGACTTTACTAAAATTTAAGTAGTTGATTACCATGACAGTGTTAGTGATGTTAAGACAGGTGTTCAAAAATAAATTTCTTCTATAAACCCCTCGGGTATTCTCTTCTGCTATTTCAAAACTGTTAAATGGTCTCCAGGGTTTCGCTGTAGCTTACCTGGATGATGTCTTAATTTTCTCCAAATCAGAGGAAGATCATCTCTCACATATCAAACAAGTTTTCTCCCGGCTTTAGAAACATAGCCTAAAGTTGAAACTGGTAAATGTTCTTCCTTCAGAAATGGACAAAAAGATAGAACATATCACAGATACGATGGAGGAGAAGTTTGCTAGACTAAAGGAGGATATTCGGAGGGAGAATCGTGAACTGTTGGATAAGTATGAAGGGAGAATATTTCAACTCGAGAAAGAAAATGAGGAACTCCGACAGACTGTTGGAAACCTAGATGTGGCAGAGGAGGGTAGTTGATGGAAACACAACCCTAACCTCTAAAGTTCTCTGTCAATCGTTTATTGTCGTATTTATTAACGTTGAAAGTCGAAACCCTGTAACGAAATAATATCACGCTACAGGACCTAATACATGACAGTTACAACCTTTACACATAAAACACAATTGCCGCTGATTCAAGGGAGACAACTCTTATAGACATAATACTCACTGATGATCATAATTTATACGTTCAATTAATTACAATTAAATTGTTACATTTAACTCTACACATACCGATAGCCTTAGCAGTACAAAATATCCTATTTGATAAATTATCCTTCGTCAAATACATTTTGCACAGAGTCAAATCAAAATAATCAAATAAATTAAAATAGCTACGAAATGTTATACAACATACAATATCATACCTGTGTATTGGCAAAGGGCCCTAAACAACTTGTCAGCGAGCTTGTATCATACAACTTCTGGCAATAATCTGTAATCTGTAAGTTTCCAAAATACAAATTTACTAATAATTCAAAATCAAGATAATTCCGAAATTCAAAATCTCAAACTTTTTAGAATTTCCAAATAGATGTATAATGTATATTATATATATCTGTACAATAAGATACCAATATATCAAAAAATGATTCAAAAGACTTATATTAGTCAGGCACGTCCGTCAGCTATGAGTCCACAAACGGTACAGACAAAATCTGCACGAGACACAAAGAAAATCCCGCCAAACTGACCACTAAAATCAGCCAATCAGAATACTTGCACAACCTGACGTAAATGACCAAACAACAACACACCTTGGGATACTAACGTCACAAAACATACATGATGAGCACAAGTACAAAACATAACAAGAACGTAACACCACAATATGGAACATGACACGCGGGCACGGTTTTTCGGCGAATTTGTAAATTGTAATTTAAAAGATAATTCCACCCTTCTACATAGAAACTATGTGCATGGAACTTCAGGATGCAAATAAGGAAGCTAACAGTAGATACAACAACCTTGAACAACAGGGGCGGAAAAAATCGGTTCGTATCTTCGATTTGGATGATCCGACAGAGAAAGAGACAGTTGAGGAGTGCAAGGAAAAAGTGACCAGTATTGTTAACTCGAAGCTTAAGTTGGCACTCAGCGGTGATGACATAGATATCGCTCACAGATTGGGGAAGTTCGCCAGCGGCAAGAATAGAGGCATCATTGTCAAGTTCGCCGAACAAAGAAACATGAGATTCTGAGGAACAGACGACTTCTGAAGGGTACTGGAATCGCTATCTTCGATTATCTCACTC